GAACCTAAGGTACTTAGTTGTCTTGACTTCAAACTCGCACTTCTTGACGTCCACCTGTAGCCCTGCGGCTTGCAGTTTGCTAAGCACTTTTCGGACGTGCTCTCGGTGCTGGCGCAGATCGCCATCGGTGTAGATTAGTACGTCGTCCAGGTATGCTGAGCAGAAGTCATCTAGGTGTTCTCTCAAGGTCCAGTTAATGTATCGTTGAAAAGTACTTGGGGAGTTCGCCATGCCAAAGGGGGTAACTAGCCACTCAAACAGTCCGAATCTTGTTTGGAAGGCTGTCTTCCACTTATCGCCTGGTGCGACACGGATCTTGTGGAAGGCTGCGATAACGTCCAACTTTGTGAACCATTTGGCCTTGCTTAAGCTGTTAAGTGTCTCTCAGATAAGGGGTAGCGGGTACCGGTCCTTCTTAGTAATTGCGTTCAGAGCTCGATAATCGATGCACAGTCGGAGCCCTCCTCCAGGTTTCTTGGCGAACAATACTGGCGCTGCAGCTGGCGAGCTGCTTACGCGGATGAATCCCTTCTCAAGAAGCGATGTAAGTTCCTTTCTAAGGACTAGGAGCTCTCCGCGCGACATGCTATAGAGGGGTCCCCACGGTGGCTGAGCATCCTTCGGCTCTAGCTTGATCTTGTGGTCCACCCCTGGCCCTCAGTGCGGTGGAAGCTTCTCTGCTTGCTTCGGGTTGAAGAGCTCATAGAACTCCTAGTACTGTGTTAGTAGCAGCGCTCGTACATCTACGGGCTTCTTCAGTTGTAGCGCCTTGTCGATGTCTACAATCGACGCGGCGAAGATCTGAACGCTATTTAGAGCGTTCTTATGTCTACGAACTAAGGCCGCAAACGCTGCAGCGTTGACTTAGCTAACTCCTCCTTGTAAGCGTCCTTTAGTCGACCTTACTTAAATGCCCTTTAAGTGGATAAAAATACTCTTCTTAGCAGGAGATACTGATACGTCCTAGTGGTCCATCCATCCCCTACTAAGGTACACGTCCTTACTAGAGGACAAGTCCATCACGTATGCATAAGCAGTCTCTTTGTACCTATGCATCTTGAACAAGAATCAGGCAACCTCGCTAATCTCTAATAGCTTGCCGTTCACTCCCTCAATCATCCAAGAGGGGATCTGAAAGCGCTCTAGACGGTGGCGGTAAGCAAATCTCTTGCTAATTAGTGCATAGCATAGGCATCCGCAATCTATAAGCGCGACAGCGTTTGCTACGTTGTTCACAATAAGATCTACGGTGATTGGTAGGGGACGCATATGCTTCTGCTGAAACTGATTCCATTCGCTACGTGTCTGCCGATCCATCTTCAGAGGCTCTAGGCCAAGACTCTGGCCC